TGTAGCGAACAGATCAAATCAGCAAGCATTCCTTGGGCGTCCCCTATGGGTAGGCGGGGGTCTTTCTTTGCACTTGTGCCTGCTCGGCCACCGAAATAGGGGACTGGAGGTGGCTCCAAGCAGTGCTCAGAAAAACAGCAAAATAGGGACACACGCGGGGGAGACCAGAAAATCTGGAAAGAAGCTGCTTTCAATTCAGCATCTGTGTCGGATTGTGTCGTTCAAAACCAAAACCTGCATTTTAAAATAAAGCACTTCCCCCCTCCATCCCCGCACTTGAAAGAGGGTATCTTTTGGGAGCTTAGAGCACCAGCCCCGGCAGGTGTGTAATAACCCAGCAATCTTTCCGGACATCCCCCTGCCGATACGCGCCCCCATGAATGTTAAGTGTGTTCACTGCTACAATGATCATAGCAGCGAAAAAGGCAGAACAAACTTCCGTCCCCCGGTACAGGATGGCTAAAATAAAAAACCATCTTTTCATGGCTTTGTATGCTGCAGCATAAAAAGAAGACGGACCTGTGCTGGCTGATAAGAATCAGCTTCTAAGATATAAGTGAAGAAAAGCAAGATACAAGACAGGATACACGATATGATATACATGTAACTTACACGGATGTGTATGTAACGTACACACAGAAACACTTCCAGAAGGATGCAAGGGAACCAGCATTGGGGTGATTACCCTTAGGGGATACACGAGTGGAACTGAAGGGTGAGGAGCACAGAGGGAGGCTTTTACTTTTTGGTTAAGCCTTCCACACTAACATATTTATAGGTATACACATTTACATGATTTTATTTTAGCATATACATAGCATGTACTTCATATATACTAATATATATAACATAGACAGTCTCGTGGGTATTATATATATCTCCCATAAGTATACCCTAATAGGACTTCCACTTCTGGCCAAGATTGGATAATAGAGATTGTCTGTACCCTTGAAATGAAACAATCAAAAACACGAAATATATAAAGCAAGGATTTTGAAGTCACTGGACGTCAGGCCATGAAGGAGAGTCATTCCCGAGGGACGAGAAATAAACGAAGCAAGTCGTACCCTTACCCTCAGCTCACAGCCTGGACAAAGCTTCCAGGCCACGCACAGGGATGGGGAGCCCCTGGTGTTGAGGAGACAGAGCTGGGAAGGCGGGACGCCAGTGGCCAGAGTTGAGCTCTGGAGAGACGCAGAGGGGCCCTCTTCAGCAGACCATCCCCAGTGCTGGCATGTGAAGACACAGCCCTGGGCAGGGGAAGGAATCATCCCTAAGGGTTAGTGGGAACAATCCCCAGAGCTCCCACGGGGTTGGGAATAGCTCTCCCTCCCACCAACCACAGTAGACAATGTCAAAATTTTGGGCAACATCGAGTCAAATACTCGGAAGGGTTTTTGCCTTGGTGTTAGGGCAAAATTAGACCTGGACTTAGGGCCTCTCTGGTCCTGTCTAGAGAAGCTCAGAAGCCAGATCTCAAAAGATGAAAGAAGTTTCTAGCCACTTAACCCTGCCCCAGAGAAAAGATCAAGAAATCTTGTAAAAAGAGAAAAAAAAACAACAATAGCAACAAAAAACTTCCAGTGCTCAATAAGGGAAAATTCGTAATGCCTGGCATTGAACAAAAATTACCAGGCAGGGGGCGCCTGGGTGGCTCAGTGGGTTAAGCCGCTGCCTTCAGCTCAGGTCATGATCTCAGAGTCCTGGGATCGAGCCCCGCATCGGGCTCTCAGGGATTGAAGAGTCAGGAATGGCCAGTCAGGGATAGGTGGAATCAGGGACTGGGCGGAGTCAGGGGCTGGGCGGAGTCAGGGATTGAAGAGTCAGAAATGGCCAGTCAGGGATAGGTGGAATCAGGGACTGGGCGGAGTCAGGGGCTGGGCGGAGTCAGGGATTGAAGAGTCAGGATGGGTGGAATCAGAGACTGCGCGGAGTCGGGGCAGAGCAGAGGTGAGCAGAGGACAGTGGACAGGGACAGTGCTTGGCGCCTGCAGGGCTGGAATCTTGGCTGGGAGGCTGAGACTTAAAAGCCACCATGTGCCAAACTCCAGACCCTGGAGAACCACTTTCATGATTCCTGCCATATTCTCAAAGTACTGGCATTGTAAGTTACTTACTACTTTTTAAAAATCACCTTTAAAATATAAATAAGTGTATTTTAAAGGGAAAATCTACATCGCGGTCTCTAAATGATCATCAGTAGCACCTTCCGTTAAAAGGTCACCTCACACATAAATACTAATTAAACGCTAACAGAATCCCAGCTAGAATCTGTTGTCTCCAGAAGGTTCCAAGCCTGAACTTTCCTGTCTCTGTCTTGATTGAAACAAGATTAGTCAGTGTTAAAGCTAGACGAGCATCGACTGGGAATGTGATCTTGAAGTGCTTCGAGGTGACGGGGAATAAAGAAGGGAAGGACCTTCACTACGCCAGCTGATGTCCAGACACACCAACTAAAGTGAGGGGTGCACATGTCACATGGATGTGTGTGTTTGTGTGTCTTTCTTTCTGCCTCATCTTTCTTGGTTTCTCTCTGTCTTAGGGACTTCCTGTCTCTTTCTCTGTCCCTCTCCCTTGTCTGTCTCTGTTCATCATTTTGCCGCTTTTTTTTTTTTTTTCTGCTATGAGTACTGGATGTTGGTGATGGATTTCAAACAGGCCAGAAGCAAGAGAAGTAGATCCTGGTGGTGGACCCCCACCTATGGGAATGCTCAGGGAGTCATGTTGGGACAGGAGGGACCATCCTGAGGCCCCTGGGGCCTTCTGAATTGGCAGAGCCAATTCAGAGAAATGGGGTCCTGTCCTGCCTAATGAACTGGACCATGAAGACCAGACTGTAGAAAGGAAACAGGTCAGAGCATTAGAGGGGACCCAGGGCCTCAGCATCCTGGTTGGCTGGTGCAGCTTCCTGGCCCTTGCTAATGAGCCTGGACAAAGAGGGTGCAGCCACTGTTTCCCCTTCTTTGTCCATGACATAAAGCCCAGCCAGTGCCAAGGCTCGCCTCGATGTGGGCCTGTGAGGAAAAGCCCTGTTATGGCTTCTGCCCAGCATTTTCTGCTTTGCTGGTGCTCCTGGTGAGGTAGGGACACAGCTCTGCCCAGACGCAGGCCTGAGGCCTCACCCAGAAAACCATGAGTCAAGAGCCTAGCGCCAGGGAGGCCACCGGACTGGGTCAGCGGTGGAGCTTCCCCCCGGGGGCAAGGGCACACTGAGACTCTGCCAGTGAGGCTGTGGCCGGTTCCAAGGTCATCAGGGAGCCCCAGCAATAGGAGCTGCTTCCTGCAAGAAGATGGGCACCGTTGGACAAACAGGCCACTGCCCAGGGTCAAACAGCCTCTACTAAGCATGGCTCAGCCTCTGTCCTGCCAAAGGGGAGGGACGCCTGTCCACCTGCTCTCGTTCTCTCCCCCCACCCTCCCTGCCTTGGTTGCCTCCACCCCTTGGTGGCTGTCCCCCATGTCCCTCACTTTTCCTCTTGCTCCGTGTCTGTGCCTCTCTGTCTTTCTGGCTTTCCTTACTCTCCCACATCTTGCTTCATGGCCGGGGTTGCCCGAGCGGTCCCCGCCCGCCCCAGTCCCGTCTTGGGATGATTCCCCCTCCAGGGTGCAGCTCCTCAACTTTTGGTCTGGGACTCTGTTCACTCTGCTGGCTCAAACTGTCTTAGTTCCCAAACCCCAGCCCTCCGTCACCCCCACACCACATTCTGCCATAGCCCCGTGTCGACCACAAATGGAAAACCTCTCTTTCTTGCCCAAAATAGGTGATCATAAAAATAAGGGCAAGAAAAACACAATGAAGACATTTGCCCACCCAAAGCACTTCCTTTGTTAAAATGTTCTTTTTTAAAATGCAAGTATATAAGGTTTTTTGTTTTGTTTTGTTTTTTAAGCAAATTAACTTATAGACAAACAGGAGGCACACAGTCCAAGTGGGAAGTGGACTTGTCAGCGATCAGGTCAGAGGCACACCCATGACAGAAGTCACCCCTGTGTTCGGTAATTCACCTGTCCCCACGCCACTGCTGTGTGTGCCCCTTCCAACACCTCCACCCCTGCAGCCGGCCTTGACCTCACCCTTAGACCTTCAGGGAGCTTTTCAACATGGCCCTGGGTGATCCCGTCCCTGGGCCCAGTCCTCAGGGTAAGTGAGGAGCTGCTCTGTGGGTACTGGGAGGGCGGGAGACTGACGGCTCCTCCTGGGGAACGGCCAGCTGCCAAAGCCTATCTGCGAGCTGCCTGACCCCCCACAGCATCCCCTCCAGGTTACCCACAGGCCCCATGCAGCTAGAAGGGGCAGCTGGGGCTAGATGACCAGCCCTCCTCTCGCTCTCTGGGTCTGAGGAAAGGAGAAGGAGAACCCACAGAGCAGCGTGCCCTGTGAGAGCTAAAGGCCATGGCCAGCCCCAGCCTCCGGAGGGAAGGCTATCTCCAGGGGAAGCGAGGGCCAAGGGCTTAGCTAGGGGCCCCAAGCCCCATAAAACTTGGGCCTCCCTCTAATTATGCGGGGAGCCTCCTGGCTTCTCATGATACCGGTTAGGTCATCTTCCAAGAACAAAAAGCTGATTGCTTTTTAAGACTCTGGGTTCAAGGCATCCACCAGCCCCTCTCTGGAGATGCGCTGGCCCCTCCCCTTGATGCCTGATGTCGGCAGTTCTCTGCCATCTCCCCAAGGTCGGAACTCCCACGGGGAAGCCCCAGCCTCAGAGGGGCCTCAGTGAGGCCCATGGCTTTTGCTGAGGCCCTGTGTGCGAACAAGAGGAGCCAGGGAAGGGCTGGGTCCCAGAGACCCACGGTGTGCCCCGGGAGACCAAGATCACCATTGACCTTGGCTGATGCTGCAAATAAGATTTCATTTTCTTCCCCGGAGAGCTGGTTGTTAAGCACTTGCTGGCACACCACTGACCGAAAGAACCGCCAAGAGACGGACAGCCCACCTGCTCGCCCCCCGGAAACTGGGGAGACCCAAATCAGACCCCGAGAAAGGGGAGAGAAAGCAGCTCTTACCGCATCTGGATATCAATTCTTTGAGCTAGTTTTCTCATCTGTTCTTGGCAACATTTTAGCAAATCTACTTCCTGCAATGAAAAAGGTCAAAAAGAGCCACACGGGCCTTAGAAAGTCACCACACCTGGCCCCCCAGGTGAGTGACCCCACCCCTACCTCTCGCTGCCCACTCTTGACCCCCTCCCCACCCTGCCCTATGCAATGTCAGGGCGGGAGTCCATCTCCTGCCTCATCCCCGCCCCGTCCCTAGGCCAGACAGGTAAGGGTCAGCGGCGGGGGCTCCACAATCCCCATCTTATGTTCTTCCTAAATTGTACACTTCCCGATTAAAAGAAAATTGAGCACCTACTATGTGCCAAGGGCTCATCTGTAGACTGTGTTATCGCTATATTCAATAACGTGTGTGAAACGGTACGGTGTGTGACATACACTAGGCGCTCCATGAACACAGGCTTTTATTGTTGTTATCATAGGTATTACGGTGAGACGCTGAGGGTCCCACGACTTCCCTTCTCCCTGTTCTCCACGTAGTGTAGCCCCCCACAATGCTTTCCGAGCCCTGACTCTGCATGGGGTGACACGTGGCTTCTGCTCCTGGGAGAAGCTCAGAAACCTCTGTGACCAGCTGCCACCGCGCCCCCCCCCACCACCACCCCCAGGGGGCTGAGCAGACCCAGGAGGCCTCTTACCCGGATAAGGTTTTTCTCCACATTGTCATGGACCAAGTCGATCCCGATCCTTTTCTCTCGATGGTACAGACACTCCAGAGCCACCTGGAGGGAGCAGTGGGAAATAGCATGTTTTCCCTGCGCCTGTAGGCACAGTCTGACCGCAGGCGACTCCCATCCACCTTTGCTGGGATCTGCTTTATCCCCAGGAAACCTGGATGGCGCCCGGGTGGCCTCGTCACTGTGCCCATGGGTGGGCTTCCACCTCCCCTTCTCCCTCCGTGGCGACCCCGGGATGCCATGACTGCCAATGGGTAGAATACTGGGGCCTATTGCATAGGTTTGCTGCGTGATTAAGTCGGCCGGACACGTGTGAAACACTCCAGATATGGTCAACAAATATTACTTATGAATATATGTGAAAACCCCTTTTTGAAGATCTGTAAATGGAGTGGGGGTGGGGCTTCGGAAAGTGCCCAGGGCCAAGTGAGACCCAGGTGACCCTGTCACACAGCCATGCACCTTGCAATGACCATGGGGCTGTAAGCAGCGTGGAACAGAGGACAGGGAGAAGTGTCCACTCAGGGGAGCTCCAGCAATGAGAAGCTGAGAAAGGCAGGTGATTAGGCCACGGGACTGTGACGTCACAAAGAGCAGCAGAAGGGAGAAAGCAGCAGGGGAGCGCCCCATCTTGGTGCTGGGAGGGGTGCTAGGGATACCACAGTCAACCCATCAGAGGGTCCCCGCGTTAACGGGGCTCTAAGAGGCAGGTGAGAACACACATAAGTAAACACACAAAGAGGAGCAATCATTTCTGACTGTGAGCAGGACTTGGGTGCAAAGAGTCAGGGTGAGGCAGGTGCGAAGGGTGGAGCAACCGGTGGGGGGTTGGCCAGGAAGGACCTTCCTAAGGAGGTGAGAGACCAAGACCTGAATTATCGGAAGCAGTAGAGACGAATGGGAACAAGGTGCCAGGAAGAGGGAACAGCAGGTGCAAAGGCCCTGAGAGAGAGGAGGAGGAGCCGACAGGAACCCCCTGGAGCTGGAGAAGGGGAGGCTGGAGCCGTGAGAGGGGCCTGCGCTGTGCAGGAGCTGGAGCTGGTGACAAGGAAAATTTGGATGTTAACTGGGGGCACTGAGGGGGGTTTTAGTGAGGGAGCATGGAGATCCAGTTTAATATTTAAAATACCACCACCACCACCACCCGCCGGGGCTGGAAGATGCGTGGGAGGAGGGCAGGAGTGGGGAGGACAGGGAGAAGGGGGGCAGAGAGACCTCTGGTCCCCCCAAGCCACCATGTGGCCGCCGGAGAAGCCGCCAGTGAGCAGGCAGAGCCGGGTTTCCCAGGTAGGCTGGAGGAGCGAGGAGAGCAGGAGAGGACTGCAATAGGTTTTGAGCATTGTCTCAGGCCCCCCCTGCCCACTCTCCTCTCAGGGGAGAAACCTGGCTGCAGAGGGACACAGCAGAAGTCCCCATAATGTGGGGGTGGGGACCCATGCCATGTCTCCTGAGGGATCTAGAGGCGGGACCTCTCCTCTAGATGTCCCCACACCTGACATGGCACAGAGATGGCTGCACGTGGCATCCAGGGAGGAGGTCCCAAGTCCCCACCTGCTCCAGCGGGCCAGCCGAACATCGTCCGTGTGACCCAGATCAGCTCCCACGGCGCAAGGCACAGATATGCCAGTTCCATACCCGAGGCCCACTCCGGGACCCCAGGAAAACCACTCACTCGCCCAGACTCCTCTGCTGCCACAGAGCCTGGGAGAGTTTTAGCAATGGGCTAGGAATGGAAACGCAGAATGTTCCCTTCCAGGAAACTGACATACCCTGACACAATGGGGACATGGGGCCCTTTGCCCGGCCCCTATCTTCCTGCCTCAAATGAGAAGATCGAAATGTTCCTTGCAAGTAGGAGCCTGCAACAGGAGATAGGACATCTCCCCACGAGCAGTAGGACAAAAGCCACAAGCTGAGGACAGCAGAGCAGAAAGACAGGCGCCTGGGTCCCCCCTCCGGCATCGGGTGAGGGCTGCAGTCGCCCGCTCTGTTTCCTTCTGGAATTTTCCTCATGACTTGGCTGAGCCTTGGTTGAGCTGCACGTAACAGGGGTCCCTTACGTGCCACCAAAGGCAAACCTAACTGATCCGGGATACGATGGGAGACCAAGGAGCGTTGAGAATGTCCACATTCAGATACAGACCCATCTACTCAGCAAACATTTACTGAGAGCCTACTGCGTGCCACGCACTGTGCTAGGCTGGGAAGACATTCAGAACACCGGCCCGGACGGCGGGCCATTGGCATAGACACGGCTCCCAGAGGGCCAACACAGACAGGCTGCCCAGCACAGCTGCGGATCGGTCTGGAACACGCTGGCGACAGTAGACAAAAATCCCCACCCTCTCGGCACTTAGATTCTAGCTCAGGGAGCGAAATGATAACTAAATAGATGTGTAAGTTAGAGAGCATGTTAGCAGGTGTTAAGGGCCATGGAGAAAAATACAGCAATTCTTTTACGTCTATCCTTCTACCCAGCAGCCCGCATGCACGTGCCCACACACACACACACACAGGCACGTGCAGAAAGTCTGGACAAAACCTCTGCAGTTTGGAGGCAACCCCAAAGAGAAAAGGAAATCTGATTCGGTCTGAGGAAACCTGATCTGACGGGGATAATCCTGGGCTGTAGGAACTGACAGCAGCCGATGATGCAAAGTTCCCAGGGCCTTGACCTTCACTGGGGAGGAGCAGAGCGCCCAGGGCTGCCCTCCTGGCCACTGCCACGCCCCCTCCTTCCCCAGTTCACCTGCAGGGGACAGTCGAGCTCCTCAGCAGCACACTCCAGCCGCCTCTTGACCGTGTCCAAGCTGTGGTTCTCTTTCAGAAGCCTCTCCAGCTCGTAGCCCAGCTCGGACTTCCAGAAGCCGATGTCCGACAGCCTCTGGCCCAGGTTCCGGCTGGTCCCCTCCTGCATCTGGCGCGTCAGCTGGTCCTTGTCCTGCATGAGCCGCATGGAGTCGCCGGTCAGCCGGCTGGCCCACAGCCGAGAGGCCTCGGCCCCGCGCATCTGCAGCTCGTTGGACCTGTCCCAGTCGTGGGGGGTGTAGCGGCAGAAGAGGGCGGAGCGGAGTGCCGGCAGGATGGTGGGCGGCCTCAGGGGGCTGCGGCTCGTGGCCCCCTCATCCATGCAGGTCTGTGCATTGGCGATCTTGTAAAAGAGGCTGGGTCTCCATGAGTTGAGGTAGCGGTACCCAGGCAGGTAATACGGCTGGTAACATTCCTGGATCACCGGGGCGGGCACAGCCGGGGGCAGCGCACTGAAGCCACAGGCTTTCTTGGGGCCACAGTAACTGGCCGTCTGACTGGTTCCCAGAAACTCCATCTTCCCCCATCAGCTGCCCTTGGGCAAAACTCTGAGGGGCCGAGGCATGGCAGGACGGGGAAGGATCTTCTCTTAGGGATGGGCCGGACCTCTATGACTCGGCACTGTTGTCATAAAGCCTGGAGGAGCAGGGCTTTATTGGGGCCTCGGCTTGTTTCAGGCCTACTGGGGCCATACTGTCCCAATTAAAACCCATGCCAAAAGACAAAGTGAAGGTGAGTTTCTTAAGCCACAGAATTGGGGGAGCAAGAAATGGCACTGATCCACTTTTCCCTAAGAATCAAATCGGCCTTTCACACCTAACTCTGCCCCTGGGGGGAAATGCAATGTAGTCCGCTCTGGTAAACTCAGTCAGCTCAGGGAGCCCCGGCCAAGGTTAGTCGTCTTCCTTCCCTCTCTGTCCCCAAGACATCCGAGGGCTGAATACTACTCAGCAGGAAAAAAGGAATCTTGAATGGATGAAGTCAAGTAGAAGCCGTTGGACTCAAAAGACCACATCCTGTATGATTCCACTTAGATGGCATTCTGGAAAGACAGACCCATGTGGGCAGAAGACCGACAAGGGCCTGCCAGGGACTAGGGGTAGAGGGAGGTGGACGGACTACAAAGGAGCAAAGGAGCATGGGAAAACATGGGGCCGGTGACAGTAGTGTCCTCTGTCTTCATTGTGGTGGGGTTACACAGCTCTACGTGTATGCCAAAACCCACAGAGCTGTCCACTAAAAGGGGGGGGGGATTTCACTGTACGTAAGTCAGGCTTCAACACACCTTAACTCAGTAAAGGGGGCAGGGGAGGGATCGTGAGGCAGAGACCATGTCTGTCCGCCTCACCACTAAGTCCCAGCACCCACCACACTGATGAAGGAATGAACGGGCGTCCTGAATCAAGAGCCTGACTGTGCCGGGAAGAATATTCAACCCTCCATTCTCTACCACTGGTTTTAAACCATCAAGAAACTTGACCCCTCTTTGGCTGGTGGGATCAGCAATGTGATCCCAAGGTACAGAACAAGAGGGGTGCTTAATGTGAAGAGCCTTCCCCCTTCCGATTTGAGAAAAAGAGGAACCTAACCCTCAAATAAGTTGTCCTTGTTAGTGAAGTGTGATGGTCAAGGGAAATTCTCTCCCTAACTACAACCGAAAACAGGGGCTATCGAGGACCAAGGCAGAGGAAGATGCTATTAAGCACCTTGTATATATCTGATTCTTTCTATGTACTCATTGAATCTCTACCACAAACCTAGAACGAAGGGCTTGACGCCCACCCCCACCTTATAGGGTGGGCTCTGGACCCCCTCCACCTCTACATGCTTTCCTTTGTAAGCTCCTTTAAGATGACACACCACACACAGGAAGTGACAGCACATCTAGGGACATCAAGAAAGGGGCCCAAAAGATTCGGGGTATGTTGGAAGCACGAAAGGTTCATGTCCAAAAATAACAATGTGACCGATATCTAAGGGTATAAAGGAAGGTTTACGTTCAGCTGGTCCAGGAACCATACTTGAAGTAGTGCGACTCTGAAATAAGTTCTAGGAGGGAAAGGACCTTGTTTGGATTTTCCTTGTCATTGCACCCACGGCACTTGGTAGATTCTTGCAATGTAGCAGGTGCACAAGTGGGGGTTGTTGAATGAATAAAAAAATGGAGGAGTGGGTGGGTGGATGGTTGGGTAGGCAATGAAGCAACAGAACATCAGAAGCCATCCAATGAGAACAGTTGACGATAGCTCAACGTTAAAAGGAATGGTAAGCAGCGCATCCAATCCAAAAGACCCAAGGAATCGACTTCTAAAAAGTCAGCAAGTGAAAAATATTACAGCAAGTGGAGTATGACTTTGACTCTTAGCAGTGCCTCGCCGTGGGTGGGGCAGTGGCATTTCCAAGGTTCAGTCACATCATAGCTGATGTCCGTACTTTAGTCCTTTTCAGGGCGTAATAATACTTCATCGTGTGATGGACTGCTTGTGTGTCCATCCATCTGTGGATAGACGTTGGCCATTATGAATCATGCTGCTATGAACATTCATGTCAAAATTTCTAGTCCTCTCAAATATAGAGCAGGGATGGGAACTGCTGGGTCCTGTGATAATCCTGGCTAAGACAGTGTTGAGTTTTGTGCACCTGGGTGTCTCAGTCAGTTAAGCATCTGCCTGCGGCTCAGGTCATGGTCCCAGGGTCCTGAGATTGAGTCCCGCAACCGGCTCCCTGCTCAGCGGGGAGCCTGCTTCTCCCTCTCCCTCTACACCTCCCCCCTGCTTGTGCTCTCTCTCTCTCTCAAATAAATAAATAAAATATTCTTTAAAATAAGATACTGTTGAGCTTTAATAAAATGTAAGTTTCAAATTAGCCAATTTTTATTGCTTATTCTCTATTAAGTAAAGTAAACGTAGAGGACCCTTAGCCAGTCAGCTCCAACACATGCAGACTCCCTGCACTCCGTTTTGACAATAAGTTCCTAATGTTTGGGAATCAGTGGTGCTCTCTTCGGTTGCGATTTTCATCTCCAACCCTCTGGGGTGCTTTGCACCCCTGTTTTCAGACAGTAGGCTGGAGATATACGAGGAGAGCCGAGATGGGAAGAAACCCGAACCTGGTTGCTTCCATTCCATCATTCTGCGTGACCACTCATGCTCAGAACGGACAATGGCGGAGAGCGTGACCTTTGAGGGGTGATTATTTTTATTTGGAAAGTGGGCGTTTTTGTTCATATGAAAAACTTTCTGACTTCAGTGTCTTTAAAAGTGAAAAGTAGGGGCACCTGGGTGGCTCAATGGGTTAAAGCTTCTGCCTTTGGCTCAGGTCATGATCCCGGGGTCCTGGGATGGAGCCCCGCTTCGGGATCTCTGCTCAGCGGGGAGCCTGCTTCCTCCTCTCTCTCTCTGCCTGCCTCTCCGCCTACTTGTGATCTGTCTGTCAAATAAATAAATAAAATCTTAAAAAAAAAAAAAGTGAAAAGTTATCTCCGTATTTGCCCATTGTATCAAAACTAACCTGGAACGAAACTATTACCCAAAATCCTGTTGTAGGGAAGACGGGCCCCGGGGGGGGGGGGCGTTAAAACAATTATCTACCTAGGTAGCCACTGCTTAGAGACCTCTCACTCACCATAAGTTTTGTTTTGGTTTGTTTCAATCTCCTTTAAAGCATGCTGATGGAAAATGCATTCTCTTTCTGGAATCTCTGTAGGAAGTGGATGGGGACAGTCACGTGAGTGACACCCCCCTCCCCAGTGGGGCTCCCCGTGGTCCGCCAGCTCTGCCCCCCAAACGGGAGACACCACATTCAGCCTCAACTATTCTACCACAATCCCTGCCTGAAACCTGCTGTTTTGAGGTCCCTGCCTGACTCCCACAGGCTTCGAAGGGGACAGCTTCGCATCTGTGAACTTAATGGGAAACCCGACAGCCTACGGAAGAAAAGCATCGAGACCGTCTTTAGGTGATGGCTGGAGCCACTGTCTCACAGCTTTCTGTAGCGAACAGATCAAATCAGCAAGCATTCCTTGGGCGTCCCCTATGGGTAGGCGGGGGTCTTTCTTTGCACTTGTGCCTGCTCGGCCACCGAAATAGGGGACTGGAGGTGGCTCCAAGCAGTGCTCAGAAAAACAGCAAAATAGGGACACACACGGGGGAGACCAGAAAATCTGGAAAGAAGCTGCTTTCAATTCAGCATCTGTGTCGGATTGTGTCGTTCAAAACCAAAACCTGCATTTTAAAATAAAGCACTTCCCCCCTCCATCCCCGCACTTGAAAGAGGGTATCTTTTGGGAGCTTAGAGCACCAGCCCCGGCAGGTGTGTAATAACCCAGCAATCTTTCCGGACATCCCCCTGCCGATACGCGCCCCCATGAATGTTAAGTGTGTTCACTGCTACAATGATCATAGCAGCGAAAAAGGCAGAACAAACTTCCGTCCCCCGGTACAGGATGGCTAAAATAAAAAACCATCTTTTCATGGCTTTGTATGCTGCAGCATAAAAAGAAGACGGACCTGTGCTGGCTGATAAGAATCAGCTTCTAAGATATAAGTGAAGAAAAGCAAGATACAAGACAGGATACACGATATGATATACATGTAACTTACACGGATGTGTATGTAACGTACACACAGAAACACTTCCAGAAGGATGCAAGGGAACCAGCATTGGGGTGATTACCCTTAGGGGATACACGAGTGGAACTGAAGGGTGAGGAGCACAGAGGGAGGCTTTTACTTTTTGGTTAAGCCTTCCACACTAACATATTTATAGGTATACACATTTACATGATTTTATTTTAGCATATACATAGCATGTACTTCATATATACTAATATATATAACATAGACAGTCTCGTGGGTATTATATATATCTCCCATAAGTATACCCTAATAGGACTTCCACTTCTGGCCAAGATTGGATAATAGAGATTGTCTGTACCCTTGAAATGAAACAATCAAAAACACGAAATATATAAAGCAAGGATTTTGAAGTCACTGGACGTCAGGCCATGAAGGAGAGTCATTCCCGAGGGACGAGAAATAAACGAAGCAAGTCGTACCCTTACCCTCAGCTCACAGCCTGGACAAAGCTTCCAGGCCACGCACAGGGATGGGGAGCCCCTGGTGTTGAGGAGACAGAGCTGGGAAGGCGGGACGCCAGTGGCCAGAGTTGAGCTCTGGAGAGACGCAGAGGGGCCCTCTTCAGCAGACCATCCCCAGTGCTGGCATGTGAAGACACAGCCCTGGGCAGGGGAAGGAATCATCCCTAAGGGTTAGTGGGAACAATCCCCAGAGCTCCCACGGGGTTGGGAATAGCTCTCCCTCCCACCAACCACAGTAGACAATGTCAAAATTTTGGGCAACATCGAGTCAAATACTCGGAAGGGTTTTTGCCTTGGTGTTAGGGCAAAATTAGACCTGGACTTAGGGCCTCTCTGGTCCTGTCTAGAGAAGCTCAGAAGCCAGATCTCAAAAGATGAAAGAAGTTTCTAGCCACTTAACCCTGCCCCAGAGAAAAGAT